AATTGCAGGGCAGCACATTCAGACCGTAGAGTTCCCTTGAGTCCTTTTCTCCCCAGCTACCTTCCTGATTCCTACTCAGTGTTGCTGCCCTGGATGTGTGGACTCCGACTACCAGACCCACGCTCTACTCCTCCCACCCACACCCACCCCCATGCACACCAGACAGAAGTCAAGGAGCTAAGGTGGCAGTGTGGCAGGGAGTGAGAACATAGAGCTGATCCCCATTTTTACATGGGGAGATGGAGGACCTACGGGGTGGAAGCTCTCTCTGCTCCCTGCTCCATGGCAGACAACCTGGTCCCTAGTCTAAAACTTGATCACTTTCCTGGACCTGGGCCGATACAGGATACAAAAGGTCAGAAGCTAACAGGAGTTTAGAGCAGGCCTGGTGGTCGTGCCAACCCAGCAGAGCTGTGGGGAAGGAAGAAATGGTTCCCAGCTGTGCAGAACTCAAGCTTACACAGCACTTCCACCAATTGCTATGACCTTAGAGACCTGGAGGAATGGAGGCCTGGGGAAGGCATTCGCCTGCTATCTGTGTCCCTGGCGGGCACACTTCTGTGAAGTGGCAGGTCAGTGCCTTGGGGACTCAGGACCCGTCTGATCGGTCACTGGGGAGCAGAAACCTCAGCCTTGCTAAGTCCCAGTGCAAAGGGGGCATCTGTAGCCCTCTGGCTACCAGCATGGCATCAGTTAAAGTTGAGAAGAGAACCAGCTCTCTCTCTAGTGGCTGTGCCCCAGAGAGGGGACATGGGGACCTTGTGGCCTCGATGTCTGTGCCCAGTCTGTTGGCATGGGTCTTGGGTGTGTTCTGTCTTCCCCCATTCCTGTTGTTTCCTCCCCCAGGGAGAGGGACCAGGCTAGGTGAGGGTAGGAATCCTGAATGACAGATGAGTCACCAGTCACCAAGAGGGAGGGCAATTGTCCCTGAGAACCAGATTCCCTGTGGCCCTTCACTGTCCACTATCCACTTCCCCACAAACAGGGCTAGACAGTGGCTACCAGGAGCAGTGCCAGGTGACACTTGCTTTCCTGGAGAGACCTGGAACCAGTGACCCTGTGGGCCAGGCCCCCTGCCCCTCATTTCTGGCTTTCAGCCCACCGCCCGCACTGCCTAATGGAACACCGACCAGAGCCCAGCTGCTGTGCCCCTGGAAGCACCAGTTGCTTTCCCTGGGCAGCTTTCAGGGTAGTTTTGTTTTTGCCAGCAGGTTCTGTGCCCCAGGCAGAAGGAAAACTGCCCCAGTGTGTCCCTGATTCTAGCTTCAGGGCAGGACTAGAACTGCAGGAGCCCCAGGGATAAGTGGGGTCCATGGGGCTGGAGAATGGCAGCAAGGGGCCAGCAACCTGCCCACGCACTGCTAATCTTCAAGGAATGGGCCTGTGTGGGCAGAAGTTTCAGGGGCTGGAGTGATACTCAACAGGGAAGGTACTTGTTTTGCACATGGCTGTCCCGGGTTTGATCCCTGGCACCCTGAGCAGTATCAGTAGTGATTCCTGAGCACAGAGCCAGGAGTCAGCCTGAACACTGATGGGTGTGTGGCCCCAAAACGAAACCAAAAAACCCTTCCACTTACTATTTGGGTTTGGAGTCCACACCTGTCAGTGCTTGGGGGGGCTATTATTGGCACTGCTCAGGGAATAATGCAGTGCCAGGATCAAACCCAAGGCTTCCACTTGCCAAGCAGGCTTTCTTGCCTTTAGAGCTATCACCCCACACCCAACAGGACTGAGGACTACTTCCAGCTCTGTTAGGGGTGACTCCTGGTAATGCTTGGGGGTTCATGCTGTGCTGAAATTGAACCCAAGCTTCCTGTATGCGGAGTATGTGTGCAATCTGTTGAGCCATCGCTCCTGCCTCCATTCCGATTTTCAAAGAGACGCCTGATAAATTTTGTGGGAAGGGAGTGGGTGTTGACCTCACCCATTGGTGCTGGGGGCAAATTCCGACTCTTCTCAAGGGTTGCACCCAGTGGTGCTCAGGGGACCATATGCAAGTGCCTTAACCCCTTGTACTTTCTCTGGACCATGATACCTAAGTGTATTTGTGTGGGTGGAGGGTCCTCACAAGTGGAGCACAGGAGGCCTGGGGGCCCCACTTCCGTTCTCAGGCAGTCTGGCCAGTTGGTTGTCGGGCTCTGGGGTGCCAGGGATGAGCCAAGCCATGGCGGCAATGCCAGAGTTCTCCAGGGCCACCCTGAAAACTGTTCAGGAGCCTTCAGGGCTGCAACCCAGTGATGCTTAGGGGACCGTGAAGTGCCAAAAATTGAACTGGGTTGGGCATGGGTAGCATGGGCCCTAACCTCTGTGTTGTCTCCAGACCCCCATTACTAAAAGTTTTATGTGAAATCTGTTGTTCTTTAAATGCAGGTGACTAATTTACAAATTCTTTAGGGGTGGGAGGGAAGGAGTACCCCCAAGCAGAACTAAGAGTCTGTTCAGGCCTGGGGGTGCAGTGCTGCCTTGCCCAGTACTGTTGGGGTCCCTGGGGGCCATCCCTATACCTCGCAAGGTTCGAGGAACCATACAGCTCCAGGGATTGAACTGGGGGCCGCACTTATGCAAGGCTTGTGCTCCAAACTTGAAAGCCATCTCCTAGTCCACACAAAATAATGGGTCCAGCACCTCTTCAGCCACCATTGATAGCTGGGCTAGAGCGTAAGTAGTTTCCAACTCTGCCCCTCCAGCCCACATGGCTCCTTGCTGCCCCCTTGTGGGCTCTCCCAGATCCTGTTGTCCTCTTGATCGCATGCTGAGAGCAAGATCCCTGTTTGAGGGGGGCCTGAGGGTGGTTCAGTGGGTAGGGCGCTTGCCTGGCATGTGGCTCACCTGGGTTCAATCCCCAGGACCACATAGACTCCTCCAAGCCCCACCAAGAGTGATACCAAAGCAGAGCCAGGAGTGAACCCTGCGCAGAGAGAGGTATAGCCCAGCCACCCCTCCTCTGCCCCCACAGTACTGTTCTGTGACTATGAATGAGCTTTCTCTGTCCCCCACCCCCGAATCCACTGCTCCAACCTTGCAGGCCTGTTATGTTGCTCAGACACTTCCTGCCCCCTCTGCCTGCTCTGCTGCCAGCCCCCACGTCCTGCTCACTCGCTGCCTAGCGGGGGCTCAGGCTGTTCCTTTAACAACACGGACCTGGACGGGGAGCGGCTCAGCAGGCTGATGCCGGGTTTTGCACATTGCTCCCCAGTACCACGTGTTCCCCAAACACCTAACACAGCTAGGGATTCCCCCCAGAATGAAAATGAGCACCCCAGAAATGCCTGGTGCTCGTTAGTGGCCAGACACTGTGTGGACTTAGTGCCACTGAACCATAACGCTTCCACCTGTGTTCACTCTGCTGTGTGTGGAGCTGCTCCACAGCCAGCCCTGCCCCCAGCACGGCACCCCTGCCACGCCGTGGGTTTGATTCACCTCGATCTTTGCTGGGTGTCAGCTCTGTGAGGGCAGGGCCTCATGGTTTCCTCATGCGTCCATCCCACAGCAGTGCATGCAGGGGAGAAAGGGATGAGAACAGATGCGACCACAGCCTACTCATTCAGGTCTCTAGGAACAGGGACGACATGGACATCCCTCCAGCATCGCCTCTGCTCACCCTGCCACCATCAGCTCAGACCCCACAATGGTTTGAAACAACCCTGAAGCATTGTCTATATCCAAAGCTGAGTGCTCCACCAACCCTGGCAGCCTGAGGGTGCCCGGGCCGCCAGGCACAGCAGCACAGAGGCAAGGCGCCCTGAGTGTGCCAACCACTTAGGGCTGGAGAGACCAGGAGACCCCGCAGACTGCCCACTGCGGGCTGGGCCACCAGCTCAGCCACTTCTTGGTCTCCAACCCTGTTGGCTCATTTGTAAATGGGCACCTCTCGTTTTCTGGGCTGGCGAGGAGGAAAAGTTCTGCCGGGCACAAGGCGCAGATTCCACAAAGCATGGCCCACATCAAGCCTCGGTGTGTGATGGCCCTAACAGGAGCCAAAGCTTCCTCCTGGTCTACCTCCTGGCTCCTCCTCAGGACTCGCGGAGCACAGAGAGGACAGGAAGTCCCTAAAGTGGCCTCCAGAGGGCACCACGATCCTAGCTCTGATTCTGGGTCCAAATCCTGCTACCCACAGGTACTGTTCACTCATGTCTGGAGATGTCACCGGGTAGTGATGCTGCCACACCTTACAAAGGACTTAGCACACTGGTGCCAGGGCATCTGGCCCCAAGCCGGTGGTCAGTCTCCTGCTGCTCCTTGTCCAGAAGCTGACGGCTGGGCAGTGGGGGCGGGGTGGGTGCAGGCAAAAGTCGGGGTCGCAGGGCCCACAGTCTGACATTTCCTAAGAGAAATTTGCAGGTCCCTTTGCAGAGCCCATGGGTACTCACAGCAGGCACCACCCTGCAAGCCTGACACAGGCGACTCCTGGAGCCACCTCCTGTACCAGACGGGGCAGGTACCCTGGTCCAGGATGAGTGCGGGTGTCACAAGGCTGTGCCTCCCATGGCCTGAGCTAGCGAGTGTGTGGGCAGCAGGGAGCCCTGGTGAGGGTCAGAGCTGTCAACAGCAGCACCCTCTATTCAAGGGCCCAACTCTGGTGAGGGGCTGTTTGGAGGGGAGGTTCCCCAGGCTGGGCCCAAGACCACCCCCCAGTGCTACCCGGTTGTCAGACCAACTCTCCTCTCCCCGTTTGCCCTGTTGCCCCCTGATGCAGCTGGCAACTGGGGTGATCAGGGTCCCAAGGGCAGATCCCAAAGTCCATCCACCACAGGGCAGACCAAGCCAGGCCTCTGCTCCCTCCAGCACCTCCAGTAGTCCAGGCACAGAATAGACAGGCTGTGGCGGGGCACTGGGTGGAGGCGCGGGATGGGCACCGGGGGCTACTTGTCAGTGAGTACTTGTGGGGCTCCAGGTCATGCTGGAGTACAGGCAGGCACTGGGAGGGCCCAGTCCCCGCTGCCTTGGCCAGTGGCCTTGCCCCCGGAGGCCTCCCGCTCAGACACACGGGGCTGGGCATTCACATGGCTCCTTTATTGGATTCTCCGTGCACAGCCTCCTGTGCCCCGTTCATTCTCAGCTCCTGCTCAGGGGCCAAGTGGGAACCTTCCGGGCCTGCCCAATGGGGAGGTCCGGTCACCTCCCCGGGACTTAGCCACACAGAGCCTCCAGGTCCTGGCCATTTCTTCAAGATAGGCTGTTCCCAGCCCCGCAGTGACTGGCCCCAGGGCCCAGTGTCCCTGCCTGCAGCGCCCACCGCTCAGCTCGTACCTCCCACCCCGCACGGCGGGCGGGCCTACAGCTTGGTATTGAGGTGGAAGAAGTGGGGTGCCGCGTAGGTAGTGGCAGGTGGCACGTGCCAGGCGGACGCACCTGGGTATAGTCTGTGGCGAAGAGCACTGTCGAAGGGGGTCGGGGAAAAGTGCTGCAGACCAGTGGCCATGGGCAAGGGCGCAGTGGAGGTCAGGAAGTGGGCTGGGAAGGCCGGGATGACCAGAGGGCTGAAGGGGAAGGTGGCCGGGCCCTTTAAGGGGTCCAGGCTGCCAGTGAAGTTGAGTGGGCAGCGCAGCATGGTGCCCCTGTAGGCCTCAGGCAGGCCGGGCCCCGAGGCCGGGCCCAGAAGGCAGGACACAGCCAGGCCAGGCCCCGCAGGCTTGACCTCACACTCCTTGGCGTCCGTCTCCTTCAGAAAGGGGGACACAGCCCGCAGTTTCTTGCCCCCGTGAGAAACGCCCTCTTCCTCCAGGCGGCGCTTGCTGCTGGAGCCGGGGCCAGGACCAGGGCCGCCAGGGAAGGCGGGAAGGGGCGCGGGACTCTCGGCGGGGGCTTTGGCCATGGGGGACACCCAGCAGGCTTTGGGCTTGGGGTAGGGACTGCCGTCCCGGGAGCCACCTCTGTGGAAGGCAGAAGGGCGGCTGGCATCCCCACCCCATACCAGCTGGGACCCCTCCTTGCTGCGGGGCCCCCAGAGCACTCCATCTTTAAGACTGGGGAAGTCCCGGGGGTGACGGCTGATGGGCTTCAGCACCTCAGTGGGGCAGGTGTGGAAACAGCCGGTGAAGACAGGGGCGGACGGGCCAGGGCCCATGGGCGCTTCCTCCCCGGGGCCTGGCGCTGCTTCCTGAGCTCCCGGCTTCTGCCTGGCCTCCTCCACCGCTGCTCCTGGGCTCGGGGGGCGCTCCGGGGGGCAGGCCGCTGGTGGTGCTGGGAGCTGCCCGGGAGGGTCTCCTGCCCTGTGCTGGCAGCTCTCCTCCCGGCACTGCAAGGCCCCAGCCTTGCTCACCTGGGCTAACAGTTTCTTTTTAGCCAGTGGGGACATTATGCCATGTGTCCCTTTGCAGTAGAAGCTGGACAGGAGCCTCTGGTAGGCCTCAGGGCAGCTGCCGGCACTGTCAGCGGGCAGCGAGGGCCCACGGCTGGGGCCCGGCTGTTCCACGCGCTCCCCCGCAGGCTCTGGGCTGCACAGCTGCACCGGGTCCGTGGTCGTTTCTGCCTTGGTCTTTCCGGGTGGTATCTGGAAGGAGAAGCCTCACACCTCACCTGCTGGCCTGCCCAGAGCAGGATCAGGCTTATCTAGAGGGACACATCCCGGCGAAGGGGGTGCTCACCGCAGTCCCACCGTCACAAGCCCCCACAGGACTGTGGTGGCGACCCAACCCTGTGTCCTGCCTCAAAGCAGGCGTCCGTGAGAGTTGGGACTAGGGAGGCCCGAGGGCAGTTGGGGGTCCCGGCCACGTGCAGCTCACCTGATCTCCCGGCTTCTCCTCCTTGGCCTTCCTGGGTCTCTCCACAGCGCCGTCGTCCCCCCGAGGATCTTTGGTCATCTTGTACTGCTTCTTGGGCTTGGACGGAGGCAGCGGCTTGTCCTCCTCCCCCTTCAGATGCCGCACATACGGGAGGACCAGCCTGAGGGGAACGCAGGGCATGTCCAGGGGGAGCCAGGGCCGGCGGCTCCCACGTCCCCCCCAGGCCCTCCAAGCTCCCTCCTGGAGCTGCACACACACTCGTGTGCTCCTGCCCTGCCCCCGCACATGCCCAGCCCTGCCCGTACCTCTCATAGTGTCGGCGAGTGCAGGTGGCGGCGCTGGTGCTACCTGGGCTGCCCCCCAGCTCGTCGTATACGTTCTTCCAGAGGCGCCGGCCAGTCACCTGCAAGGATACCCAATGAGGACGCAACCTGGCTGGGGTCCCGAGGCCCAGGGGGAGATGGGGGGTGCTGCAGGTTGGCAGCTGCTGGACCGGCGGTGGGGGGTGGGGGGGTCTTGCTCACAGTTCTCCCTCCCAATGGTCAGGTGAGTGGGCCGGTGACCAGATGAGGGGCAATGGAGTTTTCTTTGGGCAGCAGAACAGCAGTGAAGCTGGCCCCTCTGCTCCCTACCCCCACCGCAGTCCGGGACTCCCTTTTCTTCCTGGCTAGACTCCCAGGGGCCATTCTTTTTTTTTTTAATTTTTGGGTCACACCTGACAATGCTCAGGGGTTACTCCTGGTTCTGCACTCAGAAATTACTCCTGGCGGTGGTGCTCAGGGGACCATATAGGATGCCGGGAGATGGAACCCAGGTCGGCTGCGTGCAAGGCAATCATCCTCCCAGCTGTGCTATTGCTCCAGCCCACACAGGCCATTCTTACCAGTTCGTAGGCCCCCAGCTTCTCCACGGCCTTGTAGATCTTCCACAGGTTAACTGGGGAGAGAGGGCAGGGCCTTGTCAGGCTCTGCGGGAAGCGGGTACAGTGCCAGAGGGCTCTGTCCAGCGGGTGGAGCAGCTCACAGAGACAAGGTCCAGTGGCCACTGAGGATGGACGTTGGCACCGCCCCCCACTGCCAGCCCTGTGCTTGGGGGGAGTGGGGACGCCCCTTCTGTAAACCCAAGGGGCGGGCAGCAGCCAGGGCCACCCAGAGCTGAGGTGCCCGCCCCATGCCCTGCCCTCCCTGCCTGCACCCCAGGGACGCACTCTGCTTGAAGCCGAGATGGGGCACCCTCTCGATGGGCGTGTGTCGCTCCTTCATGAACTTGTAGAGGCTGACCAGGAAGGCCTGCTCCTCCTCCCGCTCCCCGCCTGCCTCAGGGGAGTCCTGGGGAAAGAACAGGAGGCGCTGGGATGAGCCCCAGTCACTCCCCAGCTCTCAGGGGGCCCCCAGCACCCTGCCTCCTACTCCAGACTGGAGTGATGTCTGGGGTCCGGGGGGCACCAAGGTCAGCACCCAGTGCCCGAGACCTCAGCTGTGCCCAGGCCGCTGTCCGGGCCTCTTTTTCTTGCTGAGTTCTGCATTCTGCACCTGAGCCTGTCCCAGACAATTCCTGCAGGCACTTGGCATGAAGGCAGGAGGAGTGGAAGTGTCTGGTGTGTTCGGCACCCAGGGCTACTCTCTTCAGCCCAGGTTTCCCCTGGCCTGCCTGCTGGGTTGCTCCGGGCAGATCCATGGGCAGGCACGGGGTGTGCGGCTTCTGGTCCGAGGCCTTTCTGAGGCTGAAGGGGACAGTAGGCCCCAAGAACAGGCGGCTCCGGGTCCTGCAGGGGAGGCTCTGAGCCCCCACAGCCTCTGCCCCTCCAAGCCCACAGGGCGTGGGGGAGAGCAGGCAGGACTCAGCGCCTGCCTGGGCCGGCTCTTCAAGAGGCTCTCCGTGTCCTTTCTCCGAGTCCAGGCAAGCATTTTGCAGCCTATTTTCTACACAAATCCAGATTTCCACTCCAATGGTGCCATCTGGGCAAACCGCCAAGAAAGGCCCAGCTGCAGAGGCTGGTGCTCTGGAGACATCCTGGCCCCGACGCCACCCCACCACCACCACCACCAGCTGTGTGTGTCTAGCAGAGGGGCTGAGGCGAGTGGGTGGGGGTGTAGAGTAGGGTGATGGCAGGGCCGTGCTGCCATCGGCCACCTCCATGGACAGTTCTGGGACAGAGCAGTACCTGCTCCTGTGGCTGCACAGAGGCTGGGGACGAGGTGGGGGACCATCCCCAACACCATCACCCAACTCACCTGCAGCCGGGTGGGGCTCTGGCTCCTACTCTTCTCACTGTCGGGATTAGGGGACACGGGTGGGTCCTGGAGGTCACCTTCCTCTGAAGGGCTCGTTTCCCTGGTAACGGGCGGTGCTGGGAGGAGAGGAAGCAGCAAGGAGAGAGGAGGGTGAAGAGTGAGATGCGGGCTGGGAGGAGCCATGGACCCTGGTTCCCATTGATTGGATTAAGTTCCCTCACTTTTTGGGGGGGTCACACCCGGGGATGCACAGGGGTTACTCCTGGCTCATGCACTCAGGAAGTACTCTTGGCGGTGCTCAGGGGACCATATGGGATGCTGGGAATCAAACCTGGGTCAGCCGCCTGCAAGGCAAATACCCTACCTGCGGTGCTATCGCTCCAGCCCCAAGTTCCCCCACTTCTTCGAGGGGTGCTGTGACCCAGTCCCCAGCTGCATGCAGGGTCTCAACCTCTGGAGCGCTCCCTAGTCCCTCCCCCTCATTGGTCCCAACCTCTCCTGCCACCCTTGGGGGAAGCCCAGACCCCTCCAGGTGCCATTGGAAGAGACGCCCCCATTCAGGCACGGTGTTTGCAGTGGCTTAGTGGATCGAGAGAAGCTACGTGGCCCCCTGTGTGTGGCCAGGTCAGACACGCTCGCTCCAGGAATGACCCAGAAGACTAGCTCCCAGCCAGGGGCTGTGGCCTCCTGGAAAGTTCTTGGTGATCCAGCCCCCAGCCCAGCCCTGCCGTCTGTTTCTCTCCAGGCTCGGTCACACCCACAGCAGAGCTCCAGGTGGATGGGAGCAGGTGAGCCACCACCACCAGCATGGGGCCTGGAGTCACACTGTGCAACAGATCAGAAATCCGGGGTCTGAACCCTCTTTTTCTTTTCAGTTGTTGTTGTTTGGGGCCCAGTAAATCGATAAACAATGGAAGGACAGTGACAGTTGTTTGGGGGCCACACCCCGTGGTGCTCAGGGCTTACTCCTGGCTCTGTGCTCAGGGGTCACTCCTGGCAGTCCTCAGGGGTCATATTCCAGGGACCGAATCTGGGTGGGCCACATGCAAGGCCATCCCCGTACTGTCTCTCAGGTCCCTTGTTCCCTGTTCTTTTTCCTTTTGTTAATGTAGTGGGACTTGTTCCATACACCAGGTTGAGTCTCAGTCTCAGTCTCAACATTCCTTACTGAGGGGCTGGCGCTTCACACAGCTGACCTGGGCTCAATCCACGGCACCCCATATGGGCCCCTGAGTCCCACCAGTAGTAGCCTCAAAGCACAGAGCCAGAACCCTCAGCTGTGATCCAAATCATCATCATCAATCATCCTTACTGGGTCCTGGGGACGGCTCAAGGGCAGAAAGTGCCTGAGTCTGACCCCTGTGGTCACTGCACACATTGAGCAGGTCCCTGTGGCGGTGCTGTGTGGGGCCTCCAGGGGGCCGGCAGAGTAGATGGTGCCAGCACAGAGGCCCTAGTGGGCATGTGTGCGAGCACCACAACCAAGAGCAGGACTGACACCCCCTCCCCCTGCCCATCACAGCAGCAAAAACAGAGGGGAGGAAAGGCAGAAGAGAGAACCCTTAGTGCTGGGATCAGGGAGCCGTCCCCTCATTCCCACACAGAACCAGGATCCCTGTAAGTACAACAAACCCATCCCAGGACAGACACCATAATGCGAATCTCCTTCAGTGGTCGTTGTCATACACATGCTCCACCCACGACTGCTCCACGGTCCAGCTGGTCCTCAGTGCCCAGACCCTGGCTCTTGTGTCATGTAAGTTCTCTCCTTTTGCTTATTTAATGGATTAATTTTTTTTATGGTGCTGGGGATTAAACCTGGGGCCTCTGTGAATAAGGCCTGTGCTCCGGCCCTCAGAGCCCTCCCCAGGCCTGTGGGGCCCACTTTAAAGACAGGTTCATTTTCTCCTCTTCCTAGGGTCCCTGGTTCCAAACAACATCCGTCTGGCTACCAGTCCAGTGACACAGTGTCACCCCTGCTGTGACCACTGTGGTTCTTGCCAAACTGGCCAAATCTTAAAGAGCTCAGATCAGCTGGGCAGAGGCCCCCCTACCTGTCTATGGAAAAGAGGCTTGGGATGGCCTTTTGCCACAGGGCCACTCCCCAGAGACCCAGCACACGATGCTTTTCCAGTCAAGCCCGCGGGCAACTGTGCATTGGTTCTGCCCACCCATGAAACAGGAGAGGAAGCACTTGCATCCACGGCAATCAACCCCCATGTCGGCAGCAGTTCCCGGAGTGCCTGCTCCTCCCAGCTGCTCACCTTCACCCCTGCCTGCACTGATGCCTCTCGAGCCTCCTCATGCCCTCTCCCTCCTTAGCTGCAGGCGCTCAGTCCTCATCTCCACAGACCTCCTCCACCTGTTTCTCCTTAGAACCTGCCCTTAGATAGGCCGTAACCCTGGCAAGCTGTCGCCCGGGCTAGAACCTCAGAAAGAGAGAGAGGGACTAGGATCAAGACCTCCCAGAACACGGGTGGGTAACCCCGATGCCTGTGCTCCCCATTCCACCAGCCCCGCGCTTGAGTGCAGACCCTCCCAGGGTCCCAGAGGACAGCCAAGTAGAAGAGGCACCTGGATAGACAAGTTTTTTGTTTTTTTTTATATTTTCCATTTTCTGGCTGTGTTGTCACACTGGGCAGTGCTGGGGGAGGTGTGGGGTGAGGGGCTCTGCTTTGTATGACAAGGTGGTGCTGAGGATCAGAACTGGGTCTCTGCCTGCAAAGCACACTGAGGTGTGGCCTGGGCCCCTGGTTCCTTCTGCCTGGGTCACAGGCTCCTGGAGTCAGCACTCAGGTTACCTGGAAAGGAGGTCACCGAGCCAATCTGAGCCGCTGGACCCAGACTAAAAGGGATTCGAGCTCTTGCCTAGAGCCACAAAGGCAAACACTTTCATCTCTGTGCCTGCCCCAGACCTCAGATGAACTCACACTTGGCCTTCATTTCCTCCCAGCCATGCTCCCGGGGACTGTATTGCTGCAGGGGCTCTACGCCCCACTTCTGCCTCTACAGCTTGAGGGGAAGGTGATGGACACCCCCCCCATCCCAGACCCCACCCGGCCCTGGCTGTCCAGATTAATCCTCCCTTCCCCTCATTCACCTGGATCAGGGCCCCAGGTAAATCTTTTGGAAAATGGATTCTGTTGCAAAAAATTAGCTTGAGACCCCCCTCCCTCCCAAGGTGACAGGCAGCCCAGGGCAAGGAAGTCTGAGACAAGGACGGGGCAGGGAGTCCTGGGTCAGCCATCAAGTCTCCCTTCCTGCAGCCCCCGCAGGCAGGACTGACTGCTACACCCACCCACAAGCCACTGAGTGATCCCCACCTGGTGGTTGGTCCCCTCTGAGCTCAGACATGGTGCTAGTGCAGGTAGTTGTTCAGTCACAGAGGGAAAACCTCCCCTCTATATCCCAGAGTCACTCTCAGGACAGTGACAATCATGGTGGTCCCCATCTCACTGTTTCCTTGGAGTTCTGCTGAACTGTGAGGTCCAAAGTAGGGACCTAAGCATTGTTTAGGGGATCCCAGCACTGGGGCTCACCCCAGCTCCTGTGATACCAAGCTTGCTGGTTTTTTTGGGAGGAAGTCACACCTAGTGATGCTCAGAGATCACTCCTGACTCTGCACTCAGGGATCACTCCTGGCTTGGGGGCCCATATGGGATGCCAGGGATCAAATGCAAGTCAGCCACATGCAAGGCAAGTGCCCTACCTGCTGTACTATGGCTCTGTCCCAATTTCAAATGCTTCCCTTCCCACAATCTAGTGGCTTCTAAGAACATGCTAGAGGCTGTCTCTGGGCTTCTGTTCCATCATTCACTGTGCGCACGCTTCATTTTCTGTTGCTCTGTACAGTTCACTCTCCAAAGGACAAGTTCCACACACAACTTTTCCTTATAGAAATTCCATCTGAGGGTCCTGGACTGGGGCTCAGTGGCAGAGCACATGCCTCCCCTGGGTGAAGCCCTGAGTTTGATCCCTGACACCACACACACACACACACACACACACACACACACAATCAACCACAACAAAACTTTAAAAAATAAAGTTAGAGAGTTTAGAGAGTACAAGGTGCTAACTGAGCTTTGCTAGGAGTGATCCCTGAGCATCACTGGATGTTGCCTCCCCTCAAAACAAACCACCTCTGGGGTTTTGATGGCATTCATTCCCATCAGAGATCATTTTTAGACATTGCATCTTCCTTTTCAGGGCCCCCTCTCAAGGACTGGTTCCCACTGGCGCCCTAGGGTGCGCTTTTCTAAAGGCCTTGTGTGTTCCCGGGAGGCGCAGCCCTGGGGATCTTTGCAGCTTCACTTTGCTCCAGAGCCCCCAGCTGTTTGCTCATGTCACTGCTGGGAAGAGGACAGAGCGGTGGAACCAGCAGGAGTGATGACCCGAGCCTGGAGACAGACCCAGGAGTGAGACCGGAGCCCAGGAGTGAGGACGGGAGCTCAGCCAGACTGACCCAGCGGGGCCCATCAGCCTGTGGGCGTGGCATGAGGCCGATGGGCGTGGCAGGAGTCGGGTGGGCGTGGCGGGCGCGGGTCACCGCCAGTTATTAGGGAGCGGATTCCGTTGCACTTTTAGAATTCCCATCAAAGTCAGACGCAGCAGTTTCCGGATCCTAAAACCACAGCAGTCAAGAGGCTGGTTCCAGCCAGTAACTCCGAAAGCGTTCCCTGGAGCCTGCTTCTCCGAGGTTCGCACACAGCACACCCAGCTCGGAGCAGCGCTGGCCTGCGCGGGTTGATGAGAGATGCAGGCAGTTTCTCGAGCCTTCACAGTGAGGATATTTCCCCCCTTTTCACAGTTGCAATAGCTGACACTCACAGGAGTGGCCTGTGGGAGGTCACACTAACAAGTGGCAAAGCAGGGCATCAGGACCACAGGAGTCTAGCCGAGATTGTCAACTCCGATGGCGCTTTTGTCAGTGGGAGCAGGGAGACACCGGTATCCCTCACCTGTGCTCATAAGGGCAAACCTGCCCCCTTCCCTGGGTGGACCGCAGCATCCCAGCCCCTCAGCCCCGCCCATCTGCTCAAAGGAGCCTGCCCAGCCTTCCTGCCATGAGCTGCACTCACTGGGGGTCGAGGGGCACTGAGGCAGCCACCACTGAGCAGGCAAGTGAGACTCATAAGCGACCCCACTCTCCGCAAAGAAAGCGCACAGAGAGGAGGGTCTTCTCCAACCTCAGCTTCTGTGTGCCCCCCGAGAGAGCAGAGGTCTGTATACCCCACTCATTCCCACGTGCCTGATGCCCTGCGCAGTCCATGGCAAGGTGCAGGCGCTGCAGAAACAGCTGCCTGGGTGCTGGCCAGTGAACAGACTCCCGGTGGTGCCCGCATGGGGAGGGTGGGGGTGGGGGCGACCCTTGGCAGTCCCTCCCCAGCCCTCAGACACCCCGGCTCTCTCTCTCCCTTCCCCTCTCCCCCTCTCTCTGGGTGATGGGAAGGAAGCAACACTTCCTTTCATGAAAAGTCACCCACTGGGAGCCCTGCGTCAATTATGACAATAACGGTGACAGAAGCCTCAATAACCAGCCCCAGCCCCAGCCGCGGCCCCACCCCCTCGCCTGAGGTTGTTGGCTTAAGTTTCCCGGAGCCGAGCTGGAGATGAACAAAGACGGCCTTTGAAGCGGCCAGTCCACCGCGCTCGCTCGCAGGGGCCGGCCGGCTGGCGGAGGCTCCGCGGCGTGGGGAGAGTGGCCAAGGGCTGCGGAGCCAGCCGCGTGTGGGACCCCGGGTGGCATCATCACGTGCCATAGCCCTGCCTGCGCGCCTCAGCTGAGAAGGGAGGGCGGGAGGGGGCATGGGGGACGGGTCTAGGAGCAGGAGCGGCAGGGATCAAAGGAAGAGTCCCGGGAGCCCGGAGTGAGAACCTCCCACCCCCCACCCAGCCCATGGGCCGTTCCGTCAGTGGACCGAACTCCAGGAGACGGCTGCTGTCCCTGCTGTCCCTCCTCCAAGTCTGGCCGCTGGGGACTGTTCCATCCAAGGACTGTTTCTGCGTGCGCTCCCCGGGGGTCTGGGGGGAGTTGTCCGGGATGAGGTCCCCCAGCAGCACTGCTCCACCTCCCGGGGCGGGATCACACAGTCTGACCACCCGGCTAGTGGGGGGTCGGTTTCTCTTCCCCCTAAAAGGGGCGAGGTCATGCAGCCCTCCGTCACTGCCAGCCCAGGGCTGGTCCTTGGGCCTGGGGTCTCCGAGGACAAATCAATTAAGGATGGAGAGGTTTATCCTTGGTCCTTCCCAGGAACTCTGCACTGCCACTCTGGGAGGCACAGGCAGCTCAGGGCTTCTATCCCACACCGAGTCCCCAGGGGTTCCTCAGCCTTTGAACCCCCTCCTCCGCTCCACCACGAGGCTGCTGGGCCGAGGAAGGTGAGGCCGGCGCACCGGCGCCGCCCCCACGCCCCCCGGGACCCTGCGAAGTGAGCCAACAACCCCCCGCGCCCCGGTTCACCCCACCTCTCTCGGGGTGCGCCGGCGGCTGGCATAGCGCCCTCGGCTCCCCTAGTCCTGCCCACACCATCACGGGGTCCCTGCAGGAAATCCCGAGGGGAGAAACTCGGAGAGACGAAAAGGAAAGCGGCTTCTTCCAAGCGGGCGGGGGTGGGGGGTGGGGGAAGGGTGAGGGAGCGGGGACAGAAGCGATGAGGGGAGAAAAGGAAAAAAGGGAAGAGGAGGCAGGAGCCGGGGCTGGACGCCGGGGACTGCCCGCGGAGGAGCTGCGCAGCCCTCGGCTGAAAGAGGAACCGTCGATCCTTCAAAGCGCATTGAGCAAGTTCTTGAAAACCCGCGCACGGCCACTTTCAGGAAACGGCGGCCGCAGTGGAAAGCGCCCGCGCCCCGCGCCCGCGCGCTCTGGTCGCCGGCTTCTGAGAACCGCGGGCCAGCGACGGAGGGGGTGGGGTGGGGGGGTGGGGTGGGGGGTGTGCCGGGGCCGGGGGAGGGGGGAAGGGGGGTGTGCAGAGAAACTGCGGGTGACAGCTGTCACAACAAATGAGCTGAGCCCAGCTCGAGATTGAAACCACAGCAGGAAGTGGGATGCCAGAAGAGTGCAGGACTCGGTACATTTCAGTCGAGACACGGCCGAGAGAGTTTCGAGATAAACGCCCGGGAAGCCCCTGACCGCCAACTTCTTGTCTTTCCTTTTTTTCGAAGACTGAGAGTCGGCATTTGGCCTCACCGCTCCCGCACCGGGCCCCGGGCACCAGGCCCGATTCGTCCCGCGCGCCCTCGCCCCGGAGTCCACTTCGGGTCCAGCTCTGCTCCCCAAAGTGGCGGCGTCCGCCCCTCGCGCCGGGGGAGACCCCCCGCGCCACACCCTCGCGCTCGCCGCCAGCCGTCGGCCCGGCCCCAGGCTCCGCCGCGGAGCCGCTTACCCATGGCCCGGCGCAGTCCCGCGGCCGCCGCCCCAGACCCTCCGCACTCGCAGCCCGGCGGTCTCCGAGTTCCCGGCGCTACTGGCCAGCTGCGCGGCCGCCCGCCGGCTCCCCGCCGCCCCGCCTCGCCCGGGCACCGCCTCCCTCCCTCTCTGGGCGTTGATTGGTGGAGCTGAGGCCTCTGGGCGGAGCTAGGGCCGCCCCCCTGCTCCCGGGGAACTCTGGGAGTTGTAGTATGCATGTGGTTGTAGCCACCTAGTTCGGAGACCAGGGGACTGAGGTCCTCCGTCCAGGAATCCCTGGGGTCTTGTAGCTCTAGACGTAAAGCCAGAGTCTTGGAAATATCCTTCAAGGTACTGGAAGCTGAGTCAATTATTTTTTTTCCGGGGGTTGGCCCTCAGGTGTAAACACTCCTCAGGTGTAAACACTCTAGCTCTGCACTCAGGAATCACTCCTGAAGGTGCTCGGGGAACCATACGGAATGCCAGGAATCGAACCCAGGTTGGCCTTATGCAAGACCAACGCCCTCCTCACTGTACTATCGCTCCGGCCCCTCAAGTACTTCTGACTAACTTAAAAAGTTTTATGCGCACAGCCTAATTCTCTTGGCTCAACACAGAAGCTGTCGTGGTGAGCAAGGCCAGAGAGGAGCCTGTCCCCACTGAGGTAAATGAGGAGGCAGGCAGTTTAGGGAGCAGTGGGGACCTCCAGAGACATAGCCACATGACCCCTGCAGTTGAAGGAAGGAGTCGCAGGACAGGGGGCAGGTCCCAGAGGAGGGAACCAAGCCGGGCTTGAGCACCCCAGGTCTCAGCATAATAGCCAAAATGTGGAAACTGCCACTGGTGGGTGGACAGATACACTGTGGTGAGGTGATATTTAGCTTTGAAAAGGAAGCTCTGACACCTGCTCCAACAGGCTGAACCCCCAAAGACACTTTGCAAAGTGAAATATATACAGACACGAAAGGGCAGGTACTCTATGATTCTAGTACATGAGGTCCTCGGAGCAGTGGATCTATGAAGAAAGCAAGCAGAGTGGTGGCTGTCAAAGCCTGGGTGGGGGGGAGGGTGGGAAAATGGAGTGTGTGTGTTTCATAAGAAACTTTCAGACTTTTAGTTTTACAAGACGAAAAAGTCCAGGAGATGGGATGGTGATAGTCGCACAGTAATGAGGTGATACTTAATGATGTCACTCAATTGCTCCACTTCTTTCCTTTTTTCAGTAAGGCCACACTTAGTTGTACACAGAGGCCACTAGGGCCACTCCTGAGAGTGCTCGGGTTGGAGGGACATGCAGTGCTGAGGATTGAATCCAGGCCCTAGAATATGCCAGGCATGTACTCTGCCACTGGAGCCGCCCCTCTAGACCCCAGTGCCTCTAAGCTGCTGCCTTAAGATGGCTAAAATGGTCATTTAATATGGCTCTTTTACTAGATATTTTAAAGCTCAAGGACTAGCTGGAGCTTAAGGGTAAAGTGGATGCCTGGCATGTCTGAGGCCCTGGGCTTGATCTCCAGCACCCCTTAAAGAGTCCAAGGTCAACATACAAGTAGCGAGGATTTGAATAAGTTCCTAACTTAGAGTAGATATAAGTTTTCATTGATTAATTTTACTACACCAGCTCCACATTCTACACCACACTGGCCTTATTCTGTAGGTAGAAGGGAGGTTCTGGCAGGTTCATTAGCTCAAGTAACAGAGCTGGTAAGTGGCAGAGGCAAGCTGAACCCAGATACCCAGAACTGGCCTCCTTCCCACGGCCTTCAGCCACCTCTTGGCAGTGCCAATAACAGAATCAGAGACCATGACCTAAGCGGGAACAGGGACACTTAAAGTGACAGGTGAGGAAGAAGTGGGACTCCCAGGCATCCATCAGGCAGCTGTGACTGAGGCCTGAAATTCTGGAGCAAGACTCGGACTGGAAACATGAGACAGTTAAGGAACCCTCCTCCTCAGGCACCTACCAGCCCTGCTTGCACCCACTGCCACCCACCCAACACCCTGAAGAAATGGAGTGGACTGACAGTTGATGACGAGGAAATGCTGGTTTGTCCCTCTGGGCTGGAGCGATAGCACAGCGGGTAGGGCGTTTGCCTTGCACACGGCCGACCTGGGTTCGATTCCTCCGTCCCTCTCGGAGAGCCCAGCAAGCTACTGAGAGTATCCAGCCTGCACGGCAGAGCCTGGCAAGCTCCCCGTGGCATATCCGATATGCCAAACACAGTAACAAGAAGTCTCACAATGGAGACATTACTGGTGCCCGCTCGAGAAATCGATGAACAATGGGAGAACAGTGCTTCAGTGCTACAGTCCCTCTGGTTCTGGGATGAAAGATCTTACTGGGCTCAGCAAGAAGAGAGACAATATGGGAGCGGGGGTGTCCTGGGCACCTCCCGATGGGAGGTCGGTAAGAACCAGCTCCTGGAGATTCAGCAGCAGACACATCATGGACAGTGACTAGCAATGGCCCAAACCAATCGTTACAGACAATACATCCCATGCCCTGGCTTGCAAGCTCACCATTAAAGGAAAGGCAGCAATGGGGGCAGCCCCCAAGAGAGAATACCATCATTCCCCCCACAAAAAAAATCCAGTGCTCATTATTAAGGGTGGGAGCCTGGCAACCAGGCTCACGGTTATGGGCCAAGCTATGCCTCTTGCTTGCACTGACACCCTCGCACCGGGAGCTCACAGTCTTACATAGCAGCAGCTCAGCACCATGGGCTACTCACTCTGCTGTCCGGGGGAGCACGTGCTCCCCCAGACAGTACAGTGGTGAGGGCCTGAGCAAGTCAACGCCTGCCTTGCCAAGCAGGAACAATAAGATCTAAATTTAATTGCCTCCCGAGGCAACTGTTTGCAATACAATAATACATATACAAGGGCCAGTAAATCTTGCCAAGGAACTGTATTTCCATTTGGCTCCCTAAAAGCATACACCTCCCTCACGCACCACCCCTCCTGCCCCTTCTTCCTGCATCTTCTGACAGAGACCATCTGACACAGCATCTTGGTCCTCAGGGTCTTGGCGTCTCTGTGTGTGTCTTAAAAAACAACAACAATCCAAATAAAACCCCCAACACTCCTAAATGCCTTCTTCCTGTAAAACTCATTACAGATGAATCAGTCCTTTCTGACACTATTCGACATTTACTTCCCCTGGGGCTGGAGGAATTGTACAGTGGGTACGGCACTTGCCTCGAACGCGGCAGACCCAGGTTTGATCTCTGGCACCCCATAGGATCCTCCAAGTCATAAGGGTCCTCCAAGCACTACCCGGAGTGATTCCTAAGTGCAGAGCCAGGAATATAACCCCTGAGCGTTGCTATGTTTGGTCCAAACAAACTGTCACTGTCACTGTCACTGTCCTCCCGTTGTTCATTGATTTGCTCGAGCGAGCCCAGTAACGTCTCCATTTTTTCAGACTTTCACTGTGTTTGGCATACTGAATAAATCATGGGTAGCTTGCCAGGCTTTGCCGTGCCGAGATACTCTCAGTAGCTTGCCGGGCTCTCCGAGAGGGGCAGAGGAATCGAACCCGGCTTGGCCGGGCTGGCTGCAAGCAAGGCAAATGCCCTACCGCTGTGCTAAACAAACAAAATTTAAAAAGTAAATGAAATCCGAGTTTGTCACTCTGTGACTTGCCCTCCCACCCCCACCCCCCACGCCCCCGAGGGGAGTGTCTTTCAGGGCAGAACTGGGAGCTGCAGGGCTTCAGGCTCCGCTGTGACCCCTCTCAATGTCTATTTAATCCCCTCTGGATGTACTTAACCCTTTTCTGCAATAATATAAGTCTTCTGAGCACATTGGGGACCCTCTTAAAACTCCCTCTGGGCTTAGAAGCTCAGAGTGTTCCCAGAGACATAAAAGCTGCTTCCCTGACCCTTGCTTTCAAGTTCTTGCATCCCTTGTTGGCCCAATTTTAGAAACAAAGCCTCACCCAGAGGGGCCAGTTCTTATCCTGGATTCTCAAACAGGGAAGGACCATTCTAGATCTGTCCACCTAGCTTTATTTTAGGGAGGAGGCCCCCAAGCTCAGAGAGGTTAAGTAAGTTGTCAGAGGTCACACAGCAAACCAGAGCTGTGGCTTCTTTGGGAACCCGCAAATCTATCCAGTGCTCACAGGAAATGGCATGGTTTTTCTGTCCTGCCAGCTTTCGTCCTTAGCAAGCTCGGTTCCCAGGCTCAGCAGTTGCAAAGGCCCCTGGGGCTTTGTTCTCAAAGGAGAAATGAAGCGGGGAGTATTTTTAACTGCTGGCCCCGCCTTACGCCCTGCCACGCTCCCGCATGCTAGCTGTCCAGGAAAGGCAGGCCTCACTGTGGCATTCACAACTCATGGAAAACAACAAATGCCCGAAATAGACGATACCCAAGCTCAGGAATGGAAAGACTTGGCTCATGGCTTCAAATGCCTCTTTTAGAAAAAGCCAAGAATAGCTTTTGGCCTTTGGGGAACTGCTGGGGGTGAGGGAGTTGGAAGGTGTTGCACTGGGATGGGGATCCAAGAGGCCAGCTTCTGGCCAGAGGAGCCCGGGCCTCTTGCTCCCCACGGGCACCTGAAAATGAGCTCCCGCGGCCTTGCCCACGCTGAGAGCCAGTCTACCCCAGCTTCCAGCTGAGTCTGGAACAAATTATTTCCTTTGTTGGGTTGGAGCCCCTTCCCTGCCCAGCAAGGACCCAATAGGATGGAGACCCAGAATTGGTAGAGTGAGCTGCTAATTCCTTTTCTCTCTCTCTCTCTCTCTCTCTCTCTTTCCCCCCTATGTCTCGCACTTTTAACCACGTACAGCCCAGGTATGTGGCCCAAGGCAAGTCCCTCATCTGGAAAGTGGGTAATGCTTCTATTCATTCCTCTGACGGGATGTTGGTCCTATAAGGTGTGAGTACTAAGCTAGATGCACCACCAGATCCAAGTCCTGCTCTCATGCCGCACACAGCGGAGCTCAGCTGTTGAGAACTAGCCCTTCCTTCTTCAAACAGCTACTAAGCCGGGGCTGGAGCAATAGCACAGCAGGTAGGGTGTTTGCCTTGCACACGGCTGACCCAGGTTCAATTCCCAGCATCCC